AAAAGCGGACTCGGGAACCACGCGGGGCTATCTTCACTCTGAGGAACTAAGATTCTTAAGGTATTTTTCTAAAGGAGAAGCGGGGGGTCTACAGCGGAGGGCGATCCTGGCACTCCATCTTTAGCCGACATCAACAGGTCATCCCGGGACACAAATGCGCTGCAACTGTGGGCGAGACAGACGGATGGATCCGGCATGGCGAGAGAGGAGAGGAGAGGAGGGGAAAGGAAAGTAGGGGGCTGGCTGTAAAATCTTAACCCATTTACCGACAGCAGCCTATGCCATGAGATTACACAAATAAGCAACTACCAGCGTCGTTCAAATGCAGCAATGTCTAAAAGGAAGAGGGGAATAAATGCACGCCTCGCTCAAACCTCAGGTAGTTTCTGAGAAAGTTCAGGAATGCTAGAGAAAGAGGAGCATAGGTCTCACGAGAAGACAGTCGCCCAGGGGTAGCCCGAGGCGACGAGTGAGTGGTGCCGGTGTGAAGTGGTTAAAGTTTTGGTCTGTCCCCAAGCACCCATCCCCCATAGCAGCCAGCACAACTTTACCACCCCACTCCCCTAAAAAACAATAGCCTAACCTCCACTTCAACAAAACGCCGACGTCCCATACACCACCCCTCCATCTAAATTCACCCACAGAAATGTAAGCACATACAAACACGCAGTGGTGGGCACGGGCAACTAGCAAACCCGGCCCCCCAACCACCCTCCCCAACGGGCCGAGTCCGAACCGTTACACACGGTGACCCGCCGAGCTTCCACTCACCCCTCGGCTGTGTTCGCTGGAAAGTGTTTCAATGGAGGAGCAAAGCAGAAGCGGTCCTAGTGTCTCCCTCCGCCTCACTACAGACACTCATTCACTGTGACTGTACGCCGTGAACCAGCAGCGGAGCACGCATACACATACATTACTTTGCGAGCGCGCAGGATGTCGGGCGTGCACGCACGCACACACACGTGCCAGCGAGAAGAGCGCGGAGCTATCGAGGAGGACGCAGAGGAGCAGAGCGGGGATTTTTTTTGAAACTCTCTCAGGGGTTGCAGACAGATCGCAGAGCTACCGATGGACAGACAGACACACACACAGAGGCTGTATGCACTATTTTATTGGGCACTTTGTTTACTGTGTGCTATATTGTCAGCAGGTCACAGGTGCGTAATCTAAAATGACTAGCCCACCTATTGATGTATTATTAGTGTCTTTACATCAAAAAAAGTCAGAGTTGCATGATGTCATAACTTCAAACCAAAGTAAAATAAAAAAGTTTACCTCAGTGGTAATCAAAATAAACCTCACCAAATCTTTAATTTGTCTCCAAAGCCTTTAAAAACAAGTTAAGGGGTAAATTATAGGCTCGCCCACACACTCACTCTGTTTTCATTCAGTCCAGACAATCCGGAGCAAAGTTTACATTTTTCTGCATTTAAAGATATAGCGATTTTTTTCATGTCAAAATGCATAGGTGTTTTTTCATCGCTTTTATTCGTTTTATACGAGGCTAAACTGTTTTGTTTTTTCTTTTTGAAAGATGGTTAAATAAGACAGAAATAATTTAGAAAGCCGGTAGAAATGCACAGAAATACAGAAATAGTCACACGGGTAATGTAAATACAGATGTAGCCCAAGAGCAATAAAACTGGCGGTAATCAGATTACATCCGAAGGAATAACGGATCACGGGTTCGAGCCCACGCGCCGCTGCGGGCAGGTAGACTGCCAGCGTCCCCAGCCGACCCGACCGTCTGAGCCCCACCCACCAGTCCACCCACTCAACCCCACTCACTCACCGGCGTGTCTTTGGTGCTGGAACCAATTCCCCTCCGATGCCCGACACCGCACGGACGTGAAGCCTACCGGGCCGGCGGTTCGATCCCCGCTGTCTGATCTGTACTGAGAGTGCGTCTAGACTCCGGGCAGGTGAGCCCTCCGGGGCCTCCAGGCGCTGCGCACAGTGAATACTAAACAGGATGAGACTGCATTCAGGCACGGCACTGCGCTCCCCGCTCTCTCTCCCTGTCATGCCAAATACTATTAACTCTATAATTCTCCTGTGTCAGATGTATAGCGCCACGCTCTCTGGGCATTCATTGTCACAGCGCCCCCATCCAGATGTTCAGGCTCGTGTGCGTACAGTAGAAGCAGAACCCTCTATTTTTTATTTTTCCTCTCATTTACAGTCAACCATGTCCCATTTTGTGGAAGCTGGCTGCAAACCGCTCAATAAGCAGATGGTAGATATTTGATAGTGAATACGAGAAAGCCTGCTGTATATGCAATATATTGCTTTTCAGTGTAACTCATTCGCTCTACTGTTCAAGTTGTAACCTATAAAATATTTGTAGCCAGGTGAAATACAAACAGCACAGAAAACAAAAACCATCTTTAGGTAATCAGGTATAACTTACACTTCACCAGGAGAGCTGGAGCTCTGTTTCAGGAATAAAATGGTAACCATTGCTGTACTTACTTTATTTTAATTTCAGGTTGTTGGGTCCCCCGCCCCCCCAAATTGCTTACATTAAAACACAGTGTGAGATCTGTGCCAAAAGCGCACATGCCCTCTCTGCATGTCAGCTAAAGGACAATCTCAGGATTGAGTTTGACAGTGTGTTCATTTAGACTGATGTAACAGGGAAATAAAGGAAATGTTCTTCTACCACACAATATTAAAATAATACAGGTTAACCCAAAATACAAGCTGAATCTAATCTGAGAAACAAGAACCAATTTTACTGTATATAAATAAATAAGATTGTGGGAATTGTATCAGATATTTATATATGGCATAGATGTTGCCCGAGGCAGTGTTTATGCAAAGTTTCATCAAGATTGGTCCACTTGTCTAGGATGCAATAGTGAACACACAAACATACATATACTACAATCATCATTATCATAATTATTTATATTATTTATATTATTTTCATTATCATCATTATTAGTAGTAGTATTAGTAGGATTGTTGTACAATGTATTACAATGCAAAATGTGCAATACTGTAATAATTCAGTTCAGCTATTTTATTGTTAGCACATGCAGAAGACTTGTTAATGTAAAAAAATATATAGTGAGAGAAACTGTACTTAAACCAGTAATGGCTTTAGCAGTTGTTACAGTACTCATATAGCTACAAGCTACAACTGTGGTTTCCCTTCACCAGTGTATGAATGTGAGAGTGAATGAATAGTGGTATTGTAAAGCATTTCGAGGGGTCCCGAAAAGTGCTATATAAATGCAATCCATTATTATTATTATTATCATATAGAATGCTGTAGTGTACATTTCCATACATCTTATGCTTCAGTAGAGCTGTAGGTGTAGCAGAGCACCTTGTTGAAACCTGAAAAAAACATGCAAGTATATTATCAAAATAATCTTGGCCTCAATGCAGGCTCGTAGTAAGACTCATAAAAGTTGTTTATACTTGCAACCAGCTGATTTTGAAGGCATTTTCTGTGACACACATTCAACAACGTGTGGAAACATTCCTCTGAGATTTTGGTCCATATTTGACATGACAGCATCACACAGTTGCTGCAGATTTGATAGCTGCACATTCATCATGTCAGCCTCCCATTCCACCAATCCTGAAAGTTGTCTACTGGATTGGGATCTGGTGACTGTGGACACTACTTGAGTACAGTGACGGATCTGAAGGATGGATCCATGCAAAGATGCCTCACACCAGACAGCATTTTTCCAATCTTCGCTTATCTCATTTTTTTGAGCTCCTGTCAACTGTAACCTCAGTTTCCTGTTCTTAGCTGACAGCAGTACAGTCTGCTGCTGCTGTAGTGCACCTTCTTCAAGGTTTGACATGTTGTGCATTCAGAGATGCTCTTCTGCATACCTTGGTTTTAACAAGTGGTTATTTCATTGCTGTTGCCTTCAGCTTGAAGCAGTCTGGCAATTCTCCTTTGACCTCTGACATCAGCAAGGCATTTTCACCCAGAGAACTGGGGCTCACTAGATATTTTGGACATCGAACGTGAGCAGGCTATCTTGACCATAGGTGTGAATGCTGATGTCATGGGATTGACTGATTCAAAAACTGAATTTACAAGTAGATGAAGAGGTGTAGCTGATAAAGTGTCCAGTGAGTTATGAATCACAATGTTTTCAGCATGTTTTATGCTTTTAAATAATGAGTACAAAGTGATAGGATTTCTGCAGTGGCAATAAAAGATAATCGAATAAAGGACAAGCATCTGAAATAGGACATAACTGTCTAGGAAGTCGGGCTTATTGTAGGGGAGATCATGCTTGCTAGGAACTGCTGGGTTCTAATGTTCGCCACATTATCTGAATAAAATGTCGTTTTTATCTACTGGAATATTAACAGACCCGCGTTTGCTGTGTGGTAATTAGATTGCCACAGAAGGACAAAACAGAGACAGTGACACAGTGACCCTCTTCTGGACTGCACTGCTGATATTGTGCAAAAAGCCCTTGTAGTTGGTGCGGCTACAGCTTTCCAGCATTGTTCTCTATAATAAAAATAAGACAGGAAATACATACTCACAGTACCCTGGATGTGACAGCATTGTCATCTGCAAGAAAATGGCAAGAGCAGCACAAATGCAAGCTTTTAATTGTCTCATCATTGTCACGCAATGACGACCTACATTTCATTAACCGCTCCTGTACAACGCGTACAGCCGCACGGCACTGACCCGAGCTGACCTTATTCTCTCTAAGGCAGTTTTTATCTCCCCACATCATAGGTCTGAGTTAATCCATAGGCTATGTTTAGCTTTTTCATCAGAATGCATCACTAACTTCGGGCACGGTGAGATTAAATTAGATTATTCATGATGTGTTTTCCAGTTTCCTCGCATGTTCACTGCGGGGGAAAGTAGGCCAGTTTGCGCAGCGGCAGAGCGATAGACCCTCTCTCTCATGTGTCCTCACGTTACACTGTTTCCCTTACATTACACGGCTGTAGGCGGAGGTTAGGGGAGGGGGCGGGGAGCAAGCCTTTTTAGCGCTCTATTTTCTGCCCGCGCGGGCCTCCGTAGAGTCGCTCGCTTCAAACATGGCAGCTTCCATGTGTTAACGTGAGAGCGAACCGCAAGCGGTGTGTAACAGAGAGTAAACAGCTAGCACAGGGGTGCCCGTTGCTTTGGAAACAAAATAATAAAACTTCTGAGAAAACAGGAGAGCCAGTGTCCACGCAGAGGAGGTGACACGGGTAAAAGCACTTAACCTTTGCTTATTTAGCCTAGCTAGTCAACATGCTAATTAGTTTGCGGCGATAATGTATGTTGTATGCAGAAACGTTACCGCAGTAACATCCGTTTCTGCTCCGTTTCAACAGAGCAGAGATTTACTCACTGTTATTTTATTGAACGACTGAACTGTAGAAGCTACAAAGGTGAGTTAAAAGTACATTTTAGAGGATATTTCATATTCAAGTGCTGAAAGAGTCTTAATCCATCAGTGACTGGGCGAACCTGTACTCGGCAGCAGCTGTGTAAGCCATTTAAAAAGTTAAAACTTCTTTGGGGACTCAAAGGATACCATTAACGTTTTGATGAGCACGATAAACTAGTGTGCTAAAATGCATATGAATGTGTTCATTCACACTCCAGTGAAAGGAAAGGCTCGGGTATGTGGCCTTTTGTCACATCACAAATGAAATATGAGTTTCCAAGTTCGGTCAGAAAACCTATTTACCGTTTAAAGATTTTCTAAGAACACTAAGAAAATTGCACCTCTCACTTTCATTTATTTTTATTAATCAAAAAAGTGATTAACAGCTGCTTAGCTGCTCATTCAAAGAAATCAGCTAGAGATCATCTGGTTAATGGTTAATGGCAGAACACCCATTGATTCTTCAAAAGCATGAACTCCAGACGAGTCAAGCTCTACTGATGTGGTATTGTCATGGTTGTAGTGTGTGCTGTCTCACACAAAATAACCCATATTTTTTGAGATCTGATGACTGCCAAGGCTGTAGTGTACCATTAAGAATTGCATGTAACGGCTCTTTATTGAAGGTGTGCGTGATTCAAGTCTGTGTTGAGGAAACTGTGAGGTTGTTCTTTTTTTAAGCCAACATATTACTTAAGACATTTTAAATGTGTGTTTCCTTGCAGCCATTGTGGCTTTATGCTGGTGCGGACAGCCCGGCTGTTCCCCTTCATCATCTCCCATCACCTGCATCCCTCTCGCACACATTCAGCCGGACACGGATTTCGGTGGAGTGCAGCTGCTGCTAGCAGGGGAGTGAGATTCATGGAAACTGAAGTTCCTGCCTCTAACCCTCCAGCTGCATCTGCTGAATCTTCAGCAGATGGCACGGGCCAGTCCGCCACTAGCTCTACAGGTGACCAGGAGAAGATGCCTTCTGTGGGACTGTTACCAGGAGAGACGGTGGTTAAAGAGGGAAAGGCAGCCATCTTGTTCCCCAGTGCCAATGAGGTGTTTTATAACCCAGTGCAGGAGTTCAACAGAGATTTAACGTGAGTATGAACTTCGCCTTTATTGCCACTTGCAAAGTATCCACAACTGTCTCCATGTTAAAAGAAAAACTGATTTCAGGTGGAACAGTAACAGTCAAAAAGTGTGATTTAGATAAAATAAGGTGTCTAAATCCAGGTTTTTCCAGGCTCATTGAGATGTGATATAAGCATGTTTTGACTATGTCATTGACACTTTATGAAACATAGTGTGTATATTAAAGAGAGACAAGGCCCTACTTGTTGGGTCTATATGTCAGAGAGTTGGACAAGCTAAACTCTGTAGGTATGTAATTAAGACTGATTTTTGTAGCTCTGATTAAATCTAATAATAATAATAATAATTGATTGGATTTATAAAGCGCTTTTCAAGGCACCCAAAGCGCTTTACAATGCCACTATTCATTCACTCTTGCATTCACACACTGGTGGAGGCAAGCTACGGTTGTAGCCACAGCTGCCCTGGGGCAGCCTGACAGAAGCGAGGCTGCCATATCGCGCCATCGGCCCCTCTCACCAACACCAGTAGGTGGTAGGGTAAAGTGTCTTGACACAACGACCAGGACAGAGAGCGCGGGGATCAAACCGGCGACCTTCTGGTTACAGATGCGCTTCCCAACCCCCTGAGCTGCGGTCGCCCCTAGAATGCAGCTCTGTACCCACTCCTGTAACCTGTGCGGTAGCCTTAAGTATACCCTCCTAACATTGACACTAAAGTGACTCAGTGAACTGTGACATGTGTGTTTAGTAGGAATATGTGGTGTAAATAGAGCGTTTTGTTTAGCACAAGGATATTACTTCTGTAAAACAAATTACAGCAGGTGGTAATTGTGTCTAGCATGCCCATTATACTAATAAAATAGCTTGTATTCCCCAAACATATGCACTGTGAACATATGCAGTTTCTTTATTTTCATGGCTCAGATGATCCATGCATTGACTCTGTCCTGAAGTCTCACTTCTTCCTGTGTTTCTGTTATAGTAACTCGTGTTTAATTAATTATCCAGAGCAACACAGACACAAACCAGTATACAATCCCAAGTGCAAAAAGTTGGGACCCTGTGTAAAATGTAAATAAAAACACATTGCAGTGCATAAACTGAGACATTTTATTAAATTATTTGCTCATTTTGAATTTTATGGCAATTGCACGTCTTAAACGTTGGGCTGTGGGGAATAAAGGCTGGAAAAGTAAGTGATACTATAAAGGGTCACTCGGACAAACATTTTTCAACTAATTAGGTTATTTGGCAACATGATGAAGCGCCTTGAGGCGACTTATGTTGCGATTTGGCGCTATATAAATAAAATTGAATTGAATGTCAGTAACATGAAGGAGAATCAAAAAAGCATCTTAGAGAGACAGTTTGTCAGAAATAAAGTTGGCCACAGGTTCACCAATCTGAGAAAAATCAAAATCCAAAAAATCTGTAAAATTACAGAAATCTCTGTGCGGACTGGACAAGGCCATAAATCATTACTGGATGCCCTCAGGCAGCACTGCATTAGAAACAGGCATGTTTCGTTTTAGGGGCCAAAGCCCATTTAAAATGGACTGAGCCAAAGTGGAAAACTGTTCATAATGTGCAATTCTGTTTGGGAAAACGTGAACACTGCATCATTTAACATGGTAGTAGAAGAGTCCCGGTGCTGAAGTGGCCTGCCTCGGGGCAGGATTTCACTTTCATCAGACGGTGACGTCCCTGTGGCTTCATCCATCCTTTATGTACAGTAATAATCTGCTTTTCCTGTCATTTCATTAACAAAAGTGTGTTAATTAATAGAAAAAGTCACAAAAACCCCTGAAATGCTGGTGACTTTCCCTGGTCAGGGAGAAGATTGTTAAAAATCGCTTCTACAGTGGCCTCAAAAGTATTTGCATTGTTAAACAATCAACAAACTTCCTGAGCTTTGTTGACCTTTCTTTTTTACAGGATGAATTTTTAAGAACTTGCCATTAAAACAAAAAATAAAACAAAAACCGTTCCATAACGTATATTTTTTACTACTGGCCACATAGTGGCACAATCGAGACCTGCTCTTTGTTCTGAAGAAACCATCTAGATTCATTAAATTTGTCTTTTTGCAAGGTAGTTTTGAGAGACGAACACTTCAGAGCAACACTCAAGACTGAAAACCTAAAACCTTCAGCAGGACACGGCTGCTCTCTTTACATAGAAAACTCATCACTCAGTTGCTGTTTGACAACCTTGTTTGAGCATTTTTGGAAAGATTGAGCCACAACTACAAGAAACTACAGAGCAGGATTTGTGATTTTTTTTCTCTCTCTAATTTTCTTATTGGTCTTTCATCTGTGTGGACACATCTCCCGTGTCACAGGAGATGTGTCTGAAGGAGAGAGAAAGTCCTGAGAGTTACTGCTCTGCCTGGACCCCGTTCTCATTTTTCTCTCACGTGTGCGTTTATAAGTAAACATTCCCTTTCTTCTTTCCAGATGTGCTGTGATCACAGAGTTTGCGAGAGAGCTGCTGGCTCAGCGAGGGGTGAAGGTGGTGGTGCCAGGCGAACAGGAGAGGGTGGTGGTCTCTCTGTCAGAGGAGACAAACGAGGCCGAGGCACAGACGGAGGAGAAAAACGGATCAGAGGAGCCAGCTGTAACGGCAGCTGCGGGGGAGAGATGTGAGGTATGTAAGAGTGATTTATTTATGTATTTTTTAGTGCAGTGGCACACCAACAGGCTTTTATTGCTATGTATGAATACAAATGCAGGATTTTAATGGTACATGTATCCAGCTTCTAGTTTAGAAGGTTTTGTTCATGCGTACGATCCAGAACCTCATTTATTCACGTGTGGAAGTTAAATTAAATACCATCTGAAGACTTTAGGATGATAATGAACATGAACAAGGCAGAACAAGTGGTGTACTTGTATTTCTATGTGAATGGTTCTGTATCTAAAAGCCAGGTATTATTACTGCCCAGAGGGACCTCCCATGCTAAAATCATATGCACTGGTTCCAGTGGAAAATCCTTCGATAGAGGCCAATTTCACACTTTGGGGGCCACAAGTGGTCGAGAGGCAATTGGATCATTTTCAAGAAACTTCAAAACATGTTATGAAGTTGATATAATCTCATTAGTGTCATTAGACTGAAGGTTTTTGTCTTTGTTTTGTTAATTAGAACAGTTGCAGGTGATCCCAGCTTTCCCTGAATACAGCTCTCACATTTTTTAATTAGTTTCAGTTTCACTTTGAGTTGATTAATTCTCAATAAGGAAGGAAAAACCTGAGAGCAGCGACCAGCTTCAAAATGAAAATGTTTTTTTGAGGGAATATGTACACAGAGGGAGCAACGTTTTCACATTTTCTGTTCCAGCAGTTGTGAATTGACCTGAGAAGAATAAAGAGTTGTTCCACACAAGTAAACATAAAATCCTCCTCAGCACTGTTTCTGTGTCTTCCAGTCAGTCTTTGCATTCTTTTGCAGAGTCGATGATCAATCATGAGCTCAGTGAAGAACGTTGTTGTTAAAGAGTTGGATTCTTTTTTTATTGTTATTATCGAGTTATTGGAGACCAAAATGAAGCGAAATGAGAGTAAATGTAGTTGTAACTGTAAACTTGCTCTCTTGTGGGAAAATCTTACTCAAGGTTTACGAGTGTTTATGGGAATTTTTGAGCATTCTTGTAGAAGTGTATTGTGAGGTGAGACACAGATATTGGATGAGAAGCCCTGGCTAACAGTCTCCACTCTAATTCATCCCGAAGGTGTTCTGTCGAGTTGAGGTCAGGATTCTGTGAAAGCCAGTCAAGTTATTCCACACCAAACTCGCTCATCCGTGTCTTTATGGACTTTGCTTTGTGCACTGATGTGCAGTCATGCTGGAACAGGAAGGGGCCATCCCCAAACTGTTCCCACAAATTTGCTTGTTTTTATACACCTGTGGCCTTGGAAGTGATAGGAACACCTGAATTATATCAGAGACTACTACACCATATATCTGGAAGATGTGGTGTATATTCAAAAACGTAAAGCAACTCTTTGATTAAAGAGCTCGTAATTTTTGGCCGGCAATGTGTAATTTTCGTTTTCAGGACTTGTTTCTGTTGCTGCCAAGAGGCCAAAGAGTGCGTGTCTTTGTGGAACGTTAAGTGTGTTTCCCCAAACCTTTTGTGTCAGCGTGGTCTGCGTGTCCTGGAGGGCCTAGCAGCATCTGGTTTGCGCTCGGTGCGTTTTGCTTTGGAGGTCCCAGGCCTGCAGAGCGTCACTGCCAACGACTTCTCTGCTAAGGCGGCGGCTCTGATCGCCAGGAATGCCCAGTACAACGGAGTGAGCCACCTGCTCCAGGCCAGCTGCAGAGATGCCAGGTATGACTAGTCAGCATGTTCTGCTGCTTTACTTCCCACTTTTATCAGCTCCACTGTTCAGTACCATCTTCTTTCCCCCCATACTTCTTGTTTCATTGTTCTTCACTTTTGACCTTTGACCTCCTGTTCACATTTCTCATGAGCATCTTTTTTTTGTTGCTTTTATCCAAATTTACCATTTAAGATAAATAAATAAAAATTTCTCTCTCGGGTTTTAAACACAGCATGCTGATGTATGACATGCGAGCGAAGAAGGATCGCTATGACGTCATTGATCTGGATCCCTACGGTAGCCCGGCCTCTTTCCTGGATGCTGCCGTTCAGTCTGTCAGTGAAGGAGGTGGGTAGTTCACCGTAGCAGCTCCTCTAGGTTTCATCATTTTCAGGGATGTGGAAAGTTTCAGATCACTGTTGTAACTGCAAGTATTCAACTAGTGCAGAGGCTGCTGACACATGCATGTATGCAGTCTTTTAAAAAGCCAACAGCATGGTGCATGTGTGTGATAGACTAAATGTTAACTGGCTGAAAGTTTCAATTAAATGTGATTTTTATAGCAACAAATCACAACAACAGCCACCTCTAGGTGCTTTATATTCTAAAGTAAAGATCGTACACTAAGGAGCTCAGTCAAGTGCTCCTTGCCAGCTTAATGGCCTGTTGTATGTAGCCCAATAATGGAGGTAGAAGCTGACACCACACAGAGCTGTTTTCAACACTGCATTTCATCTGAAGTGAATTCAGATTACTTTTCAAAATTCACCATAAAATCAGTTTGGCAGCTGATCAGAAGTGGGCGAGAGATTGTTAGTGAAATAATTCTTGTTTGGTTTGATCCACTTTAAGTGTCAAAATCACTTTGTTTGTCACAAAGCAGAGAATTGTGTGTGTGTGTGTGTGTGTGTGTGTGTGTGTGTGTGTGTGTGTGATGTCTAATCTACACGGTTAAGCCGCCACTGCAGGTTTATAAATTTCAGTCTTTTAGATTTCTCGTCTTCTCTCTCCCCCCCTCTCTCTCTCTCTCTCTCTCAGGTCTTTTATGTATAACCTGTACAGACATGGCGGTGATGGCAGGAAACAGTGGAGAGACTTGCTACAGCAAATACGGTTCAGTCTCCATCAAAGCCAAATATTGTCATGAAATGGTGAGGGCACAGAGTATACACACAAACAAACACACTCTCCACACTCTGGCTCACTCTCAGAAATGTGAAAATGACACATTGCAGTACATGCGCAGTCATGTTTGCATTAGTGTGTAAGCATGCAGAATGTATCTGAGTGAGACGGTGACGCTGTAAGTAATCGTACGTTCAATTTAGCCAAGTGAGTTTTCGTGACGTCAAAAACAAATGATATTTTATTCTTGTTGCGATTGTCTGAGGTTATAATCCTTCAGTGTGCACACTTTGGGAAAAGAAATAGCAGAGCAATGATTGGCTACCTCTCCAGAAGTTCCTCTTCTTGAGGATCATCTCCAGCTCCTCCATTTTGGACCGCAGATGGTGACTCTACTTTCTGTTCAACCTGAAGGCATCAAGCCTGCATTTGCTTCAGGTACAGTATAAGTTGGACCTCCGGCTAGTAACGGATCACCGGGACAGCCGTCACCAGCTGCAGTCCAAGATGTTGGAGTCAGTTTCGGGATGAGAGACTCAGAATTGACTGTTTTATTACATGTAATTAGAAAACTCCCTGAAAAGCCTTCAGTTGATCCAAAATGATGCAGCGAGAGTACTGACAGGGACTAGAAAGGAAGAGCATATTTCTCCTATTTTGGCTTCTCTTCACTGGCTCCCTGTTAAATCCAGGACATAAAAGATCTTTAATAATCATCCCCCATCTTATCTTAAAAACCTCAGAGTACTGTATCACCCCAGTAGATAACTTCACTCTCAGACTGCAGGCTTACTTGTGGCTCCCTTTCCTGTTGAGATTTGGGAGACAAACACTCTCTACCTTTAAGATTAGGCTTAAAACTTTCCTTTTTGATAAGGGATAAAGTTAGGGTTGGATCAGGTGACCCCGAATCCTCCCTTATATATGCAGCAATAGGCCTTGGCTGCTCGGTGCTTCCCCTGATCCACTGGGTGTTTCTTCTAAACTCATTATGTGTTTAATTATTAGTAATTGATTAATCTTTGGATCACGTTCACACTATGCCTTTGTCTCGTCTCCCTCCCCTCATCCCAACGGGTCACAGCAGATGGCCCCGCCCCTCCCTGAGCCTGGTTCTGCTGGAGGTTTCTTCCTGTTAAAAGGGAGTTTTTCTTTCCCACCATCACTAAGTGCTTTCTCATGTTTTGAGTTTTCTCTGTATTATTGCAGAGTCTTTACCTTTATAATATAAGGAGACTGTTGTTGTGATTTGGCACTATATAAATAAAAATGAATTGGATTGAAATGAAATATTAGTAAAATAACAAAATATATGCAAAAAAATACAGAAAAAAGTAAAAGACATAAAATATCTCTATATACCACACAATTCTACATGTTTGAAAAGCAGAAGGATAAATTTTACACTTATTTGATGAGTGAAAGTCACGACTGTTACCTGCCTGTAGGGAAACATGAGACAGGAAGACTGTAGGTGGCTTTTTAAAATAAGGGTGAAGGGCTTATCGAGTCATCTAAGTCAAACATGCAGCTGTCTCAGTGGGATCCAGATGGATAACAATAAATTACACAGTATACTTGGGCAACCATCCAAAGAGTCATCGTGTAGACAACGCCGTTCGTGTTGAATATTTTCTTTGGCAGAAATACAAGAAAAGAGCAACTGGTGAATGTGTTTGCACCACAGCCAGAACATGTGTGGTGTTCTCATAAAGGTCTTTTCTTCTTTTTCCCACCTTCTCATGTGCTATCATGATCTGATTTCATGCTGCATATAGCACAAGTAGTTTTCCACACAGTAGTGGAATTCACACCTTCTCTAGCTGTGAGTGGCAGTAATGGAACATAAATGCAAGGATCATTAAAAAAACCTCATAAATTCTATTTGATTTGATGAAAAAGAAACCCCTCTGCAGCTGAATAAAACTTCTTATCCAACATAATTTCCTCACATCCCTGTAAACAGATCCGAGATGTTTTCCAGATTTTCACAGCAAGAGAAAAAAAAGTGCTGAATACGTGCCTCTCTCCATCTTTGAACTCCAGGCTCTGCGTATCATCCTGCACAGTTTGGACCAGAGGGCAGGAGTGTACCAGCGATACATCCAGCCCCTGCTGTCCGTCAGCGTCGACTTTTACATTCGGGTCTTCGTCCGCGTCTTCACAGGACAGGCTACAGTCAAAAACTCAGCCAGGTGCTCGCTCACACGCACGCACGCACGCACTGTCTGCTAACAAAGGCTGATCTATCCTGTGTGATGAAAGATGAATGATCCTGAAACTGGGTCACTGCAGGAACAAATGCACAAAGTAACAGCAGCAGGGGGATTTGTGAGGGTAAAAGTAAAGTGCTAATAGAATAATAGAAATCTGGGTACGTGACACTAAAAGATGATATTATGACTGATGTGCTCAGTATTGAAACACAAAATGACACTGCAGTTGAGTCCCGTCTCTCTTTGTTGCAGTAAGCAGGCGCTGGTGTACAACTGTGTCGGCTGCGGGGCTTTCCACTTGCAGAGAATGGGCAGGAGAACAAGCAACGGAAAACAGTGAGACACTAAACACTCTGCTGCTGCTTCTAATGAGGTTCTGTGTGTGATGGTTCAGTCGAGGTGTGCTCATCAGTGAACTGGCGGCTTGAAATAAAGTCCTCAGTTTATGGTGTTTCTGTTTCTTTTTGGATGTAAAAATCTTAGGTTGAACTCAATCAAAAGGTTGAGTTCAAGGAGCCATGGATGGATACGTTTGGCTAAATGCTTTACTATTAAATGTGAGGTTTGCTGTTCAGAGAACCCCTCTGTGTTACTTGATGATCACTGCGTGCAGTAAAGTCGATGTCTGTTTGATTTCAGCATGAAGTATTCTGCTGCCACCGGGCCACCGGTTGGACCAGAGTGTGAGCACTGCGGACAGAGACATCAGGTGATGCACAAACACGTCACGTCAGTGTGCTAGCATTCGCTCTGGGTTACAGTTTTTGTTTTGGTGGTTATGGCAGAAATGTCCCACTTCTCAAGCATATGATCACTGATACATTCACAGTACTTGGCTGGGCCTCCTCCTTACCACATATTACTGTATGGAGGCGATCAGCTTTTGGCCCTGCTGAGGTGTTACTGAAGCCCAGGTTGCTTTGACAGCTGCCTTCAGCTTGTCGGGTGGATCTTCCTCTTGAAAATACTTCACAGATTCTGTGTGGGGTTTACGCTAATCGAGCACAGTAATAACATGGTTGGCAAACCATTTGGTACTAGTTTTGGCACTGTGGGGAGGTGCTAAGTGCTGCTGGGAAGTGAAATTAGCATTTCTATAAAATCTGTTAGCAGATGGAATAATGAAGTACTCTAAAATCGCCTTCGTTGACTTTGTAGTACAAGTTATCAGACTGTGGAAACTGTGGATTCACTTGAAAAACATCAGAATGTCGAGTGTAGTGCTGGTTCATGCAGGACTAACACCAATCACATCAGCTGATCTTATGTTTGTAATACAGAGCACAGTTTTGAAGCTGTTTTGTCCTACCTAGAGTTTGTGGGCATCTGTAGGTTGCCTAGCAACCCAACTCCACCTGTTGTGCTGTGTCCAGTCAAATCAGTGTAGTTGTGATGTCATTTACAGGGAGTGCAGAATTATTAGGCAAGTTGTATTTTCGAGGAATAATTTTATTATTGAACAACAACCATGTTCTCAATGAACCCAAAAAACTCATTAATATCAAAGCTGAATGTTTTTGGAAGTAGTTTTTAGTTTGTTTTTAGTTTTAGCTATTTTAGGGGGATATCTGTGTGTGCAGGTGACTATTACTGTGCATAATTATTAGGCAACTTAACAAAAAACAAATATATACCCATTTCAATTATTTATTTTTACCAGTGAAACCAATATAACATCTCCACATTCACAAATATACATTTCTGACATTCAAAAACAAAACAAAAACAAATCAGCGACCAATATAGCCACCTTTCTTTGCAAGGACACTCAAAAGCCTGCCATCCATGGATTCTGTCAGTGTTTTGATCTGTTCACCATCAACATTGCGTGCAGCAGCAACCACAGCCTCCCAGACACTGTTCAGAGAGGTGTACTGTTTTCCCTCCTTGTAAATCTCACATTTGATGATGGACCACAGGTTCTCAATGGGGTTCAGATCAGGTGAACAAGGAGGCCATGTCATTAGTTTTTCTTCTTTTATACCCTTTCTTGCCAGCCACGCTGTGGAGTACTTGGACGCGTGTGATGGAGCATTGTCCTGCATGAAATCATGTTTTTCTTGAAGGATGCAGACTTCTTCCTGTACCACTGCTTGAAGAAGGTGTCTTCCAGAAACTGGCAGTAGGACTGGGAGTTGAGCTTGACTCCATCCTCAACCCGAAAAGGCCCCACAAGCTCATCTTTGATGATACCAGCCCAAACCAGTACTCCACCTCCACCTTGCTGGCGTCTGAGTCGGACTGGAGCTCTCTGCCCTTTACCAATCCAGCCACGGGCCCATCCATCTGGCCCATCAAGACTCACTCTCATTTCATCAGTCCATAAAACCTTAGAAGAACCAGTCTTGAGATATTTCTTGGCCCAGTCTTGACGTTTCAGCTTGTGTGTCTTGTTCAGTGGTGGTCGTCTTTCAGCCTTTCTTACCTGGCCATGTCTCTGAGTATTGCACACCTTGTGCTTTTGGGCACTCCAGTGATGTTGCAGCTCTGAAATATGGCCAAACTGGTGGCAAGTGGCATCTTGGCAGCTGCACCTTGACTTTTCTCAGTTCATGGGCAGTTATTTTGCGCCTTGGTTTTTCCACACGCTTCTTGCGACCCTGTTGACTATTTTGAATGAAACGCTTGATTGTTCGATGATCACGCTTCAGAAGCTTTGCAATTTTGAGACTGCTGCATCCCTCTGCAAGATATCTCACTATTTTTGACTTTTCTGAGCCTGTCAAGTCCTTCTTTTGACCCATTTTGCCAAAGGAAAGGACGTTGCCTAATAATTATGCACACCTGATATAGGGTGTTGATGTCATTAGACCACACCCCTTCTCATTACAGAGATGCACATCACCTAATATGCTTAATTGGTAGTAGGCTTTCGAGCCTATACACCTTGGAGTAAGACAGCATGCATGAAGAGGATGATGTGGACAAAATACTCATTTGCTTAATAATTCTGCACTCCCTGTATGGCTGCTCTGTTGTCTCACCTGGCTTTCCATATGACCGGTCCCAGAGCAGCGCCAAGTGGCCACATAAATGACTGCTGATGGAACAAAACAGTCTGACTGTAGAGGTTCTGACTGAAATGTGATTCTATTGTATTTGGGAACAAATGTAAAGGTAGCTGACTTTTTTTTTCTCCATTAAAGTTTTGTTAAAATGACTTTAAAGTCAAGGGTGCAGTGGCCCACTTAAAACCAGAAAAATCCCACAGGGACCTCCCAAACTTCAGTTTTCACTCTAATCAAAATACAAGAGAGAAAGATGGATTCATTGAAATTTTCATTCAAGAAACATAAACAACTCTGGCTGTTGGCTATTAATTGCTAATGCACCCAGTCACATGCACCGTGTTAAAGCAACACACCTGCCAAACAGGGCATCAACTTCAATGTAATAGCAGTGAATTTAGGTTGGAGTAATGAGTAATATCACAAACTAACCCCCTGCTATTACCAGCTTTAATCCACTTTTTTATTGAAATAAATAAATTAATATAAATGTATTACTGTACATAGATGTAAGTTCAAGCTGACTGCCTGCAGTACCCTTGCAACTCACCAGGGGTCCCCAGCACATACTTTGGGAATCACTGACTTAAATGGTTTATATGTCCATAAACTGGCCTGCTTGTTTCTGGTTGTTACTGTGTGGGCATGCATAAAACTCCATTTGAAGCCTCTACCTCTCCTCTTTGCAGCTGGGCGGTCCGATCTGGGCAGAGTCCATCCACGACCTGGAGTTCGTCCAGAAGGTTTTGTCTGCCGTGTCGGGGAACCCTTGCAGGTTTGGGACATCTAAACGCATTGAGGGCGTGCTGAGCATGGTGACTGAGGTACTCATTCCCTTTCTTATATATGCTCTCACTGCTGGAACAGGTGCTATTTAATGGGATTGTCCCGTGGGTGTGGTTGGTGGCGTTAGCCGGCTTTTTGTTGTGTGAGATAGACCGTGATCACGTTTCAGTCGTAGTTTCCTGTCAGACTGAAGCTTCATTGCCTGTGACGTGCTCTGTGTTTCAGGAGTTGGAGGATGTGCCGCTTTATTACACCGTGGACAATCTGAGCAGCACGATACACTGCAATACTCCATCCCTGCTCCAGTTTAGGTACACACACACACACACACACACACACACACACACACACACACAGTTTGCATCAACTGATGGTCTGTATGCATTTCTTAAAGACTTACAACTCATGCTTTCTTAAAATTAGTTGTAGGTTGTAAGCTGCGACCGCACAGGAAGTGATTCACTCGATGCATGTCACTTTGAAGCAGTTGGCAGCGGTTATTTCACCCGCAGTCATTTTTGATCGTGGAGTGTTGTTCACGTGCTCTCTGATTGCCACTTCGCTTCGCTGGTTGATACAGCTTTACTGTGAAAGAACTCTTTGCAAATGTGTAATTGTGTAGCTACGCACAGACACTGTTAGACACTACTGTCTTTAAAAAAAAGTTTTTATTTGATTAGAGAATTGTCAGTGACAGCAAAATGTATTCTTTAGAAAGGCGTCACACACCCAGAAAGGTTACAAAGCACTGTGCACACACACACACACACACACACACACACACACACACACACACACACACACACACACACACACACACACACACACACACACACACACACACACACACACACACACTTTTTTGCTGATAGAAGGAATTCAGCAGTAACTTGAAAGAGCATCTCTTTTCACACGACATATCAAACCTTGATATTGAAATCTGACACACAGCTTTGACTGAGGCATACCACCTGTTGTTGCAATCTTTTGTTTGCAAGGGTCAGCCAATCAGAAGAAACAATCCTGAAAGGGGAGAGGGGAAGGCAAGGGAGCTGAAATGGCTTCTTTCAGACAGACAAAGCCCTGGATCAAATTAATAAGAATATTTTGATTATTTTAAACTGTCAAGTATACAAAGCTCCAGTATAATCCTTAAATAAAAAATATGGAGTTGGAAATGAGCATAGCTGCCCCCGCTTTAAAGCTCTCGTCCATTTATATCTAACACTGAGTCTGTGGCATCTTCTACCTTGTTGTTTAGGTTATTCTCCTGCTGTGCATGTGTGAATGTCCACATTTGTTTGTTTTCAGTGATTCCAGGAGGAAAAAAAATATCTTACCCGTGGCTTTCCGTTTGTCTGTTTGTAGGGAAAACCTTCCTCCTCTCACATTTCTCACAAACTGAATCATCAGAGCATCCTTCCTCTATCTCGCTCTTTTCAGGTCTGCTCTCCTCCATGCTGGCCACAGGGTCTCCCTCTCTCACGCCTGTAAAAACGCCATCAAAACAGACGCCCCTCCTGCAGCCATCTGGGACATCATGCGATGCTGGGTAAACTTTACAGGAGAAAAAGAAAAGCTATTTTTAGTAATCCTGAACACAGCCACACGCTGTTGTTGCTTAAACATTTCCATGTCCTGCTGGAAATGTCGACACTAAATAAAAAGTGAACATGCTTATTTAGAATCGTGTAACACATTTAAAGTCACACATGCATGTTTGATGATCTGCTGCAGGAGAAAATCAACCCTGTAAAGAGGGAGAAATTATCTCCGACCAGCCCCGCATTCAAGATCCTCTCCACTGAGCCCAGGTGAGCCACTTTGAGCCATCAGGAGCACATTTACCGCTTTAAAAGATTCCACTGTCTCTGAAAAATGCACAGCCCTAACCTGCAGATCTGTAATGTTTGTGTGTTTGTAGCTTTGAGGCCTGTTTCACTGTAAGGGAGGACGCCAACCCTCAGTCCCGTAAGCGCCACCTGACCCGGTTCCAGGAGAATCCTCAGGCCTTCTGGGGACCCAAAGCTCGCGCCAAAGCTGGGTAACCATAACAACAAGTTTGTTAGTTTTTTTTAATAGTCCAGAGGTCACAAGTGTCACATGCTGATGTTTCGAAAGCGGCTAAAATGTGTGTCAGTTGAATCAAGAAGTACGGTGGCCTTGAGTGGTCAAACACACTGCAACTTCAAAAAAAACTGCAAAGACGCACAAAACACAACAGAAATACGAGGGCAAACCCAGAACTAAGGTCTCCAAAGCAGTGGTGACATAGAGAAACTGTTCATACGGCTGTTTGCCACACTGTTGTGATCGGTGCTTCCTCCACTCCTGAATAAGCATGCGCAGCTTCGCTGGGACGCTCCATCTTGGCTTGGCAGCCCTATGAAAATGGAGCTCTCGCTGAACGCTACCGCCAAGTGCGTGCAGTGCACAACTGTGTTTTGGGACTGAAAGGGGGTATTGTTGGTTGACTTTCTGCCACAATAAATGCTGACAGGTACTGTGAAACACTGAAAAAAACTGAGAAGGGCAATTCAGAACCAGAGACGAGGAATGCTGAGCAAGGGCGTAAGCATTCTCCACGACAACGCGCGTCCGCACATTGCTCGTCAAATTGTCACTCTCCTGCAAAACTTTGGTTGGAACTTCATCACCCACCCATCCTACAATCCGGACTAGGCACCCAGTGACTCCCACCTGTTCCTAAAGTTGAAAGAATATTTGTCCAGAAGGTGATTGTGTGGCGCCAGCAAGCGGGTACGACATGGGCATTGTAAAACTGCCACAGCATCTGCAAAAATGCAGCGAGTGAAATGGTGATTATGTAGAAAAATAAATAATTCTTCAACCTTTAAAATGATGTAAATATTTCTAAAACGATAGGTGACCTTACTTTTGAGATTGCCCTCGTAGGAAAAAACCCCAAACCTTAAATACCCTGAATTAGTTTAATTAGTTACTTAAAGTAGTCCTGAGTTTCTCTTTGGAGAGAAAAAAAAAAAAGCTGTGTTCATGTTCTTCCAGTGTTCTTTGTTTCTTGCACATGTTGCTCCTTCTATCATCTCCACTTATTTATTTTTTTATTCTCTTTTCTCTGGTTTCCTGTTAATCTTTCTCCTCATTTGTTCTCTCCTTCAGTGGTGGAATCTCTGCTGACCTGCAAGACAAGAGGAAAAAGTTCCAGAACAAGAGAAAGAACCAGATCACAGACTCTTCTCAGCTCAAGACCTTCCCCTGCAAGAAGTTCAAACAGGTCAGATTTACTAAACACAACCTAAATACACCATTTATTTTTTTTTTACATTAAAAACTCTTAAATAGTGCTTTTACCTGCATCCCACTCAAATGAAGGTGAAGATGGTGACTAGCTGGTGAACATAGCATAACATTTTGGTAATGACTTGGTGGAGACCAAAATGATGCTGTTCTTGTGGCTGCTGGGCATTTAAAGCTAAGAGGCCATCTGTGCAAAAGGCTGCCCACCCCAGGCATGGATCTGCTCAGAGGGGTTTTCTCACAAACTAGGAGTATGTGAAAAGGGTTTCTGCCTGCTTAACATTTAGAACTATGTTTGTGCACAGCACAGTAAAATGAGAGGAAGAGCAGAAAGCATCGTTACTGTTGCAGCAGCTGACGGAGTCGCTGCAGGTGAGGATCGCTTCAGCACGTCGGGTTC